TTCCAGCAGATTACAATATTGTGTTGAAGGGATAAAGCCTTTCAGCCAGTTTGGCTTTCTACTTTGATGTTTCTCCAGCAAACCAGTCTTAGAATGAAACATTGAGAAGAATGTAAGTTTTCAGCTTTGAAGGCGCAACCATTATTCAAACAATTTCCTGGCATGGGAGTAAGACATGATGCATGCCACTTCTTACCAACATCCGAAAGATAAGTATGTTACGCTTTAATCTTTAGGCTTCCATTCTAACAACCCAATGACTGAATTCGAAGTATGGTCATAATAATCTGACCCCAATTTCAGGTGAGTGTAAAATTTAGACTGCATTTCTAATTGAGAATGGATAACTTCTTTACTCATGTTTTGATTTATATCTGATCCCATACTCTTCAATTATACGTTCGTTAGGGACCTAATGCACAGATTTTTCACGCCCTAGGTTTGTGAGATTCTAACAGACATGATCTTGAGATTCTGAAGGTAGTCAGAGGATGCAGGGTTATCTAATGCTGTGTTCACACCAGACGCGGAACGCACGGATAAATTGCGCTATTCGTGCGTAAATAGCCACGTGAACATTTGAGTTTACTCGTTTCATTCATTAAGAAAATAATGTGCTTTATGAAGACTGAAAAACAGCGTCGATACGTTTAGGGTCCTGTCTGAGTCCACTACATCCTTTCAGAGGTGCATCCAGCTCTGTGAGCTCATAAACTCCTTCAGAAACTGAAGCTGGATGACGGAGGCTTTCAGTGGTGCCTCTGACTGAGCGAAGCCCAGTTTGATGACTTGTTGTCGGTGTCGCCTGGAGGATTTCCCCCGGGACACCATCTATAGGTTCTACGTCACAATCACGCCCCCACAAAAGCAAGCTTCTGATTGGTTAACGCGGCGCGAATGTCCACTGAAGTTCAGATTTTTGAATTCGAGAGATTCGTGCGAAACGCTCGTTAAGCGCGTCAAACGCGCAAACCGCTCAATTCGCCTCGTGCGTATTGCGCTGCAAGATGTCTATTCTCGCGTTTGCATTGACCTAACATGTAAATCACTCGCGCTTGACGCGCGTTCCGCGTCTGGTGTAAACGCAGCATAATACCTTTTAAGTCGGGTTGCCTCCTGCTCACTTGTACTAAAATTTGAGTTAATTTATTAATTTCCATATAGCTTGCTAAAACCAACCAGTAATCCAATAGTATCCGAGCTAAAATGCAGACTCCTCCACACGATAGTGTGCGATTCATTTAGATTTCATGTATCAAATGGCTCAAATGCAATTATTTTGTCATTCTCATGGGAATTCTGTGAATTTAAAACAGGCCAATGTAAGGCCAATCAGAACACAAAACAGACTGTTGCGTGACTCACAGGAATTTTCATTACCAAGCCCTAAGATAACTAGTAACTCTGGGGGCCCCAAAATGGTGTGAGCCCTTAGAATCATCCTAAGACTACCACCCCCACCCCCTTACCATGCATTACGATGCAATGACTCTTGACAATGAAATTTCTTTTTTCGTGGGAAATCCACATGCACAATTAAACAGTTTATTTATTATCTAAACGTTGCATATACTAGTGCATTTCACACTGATAATATTGAAAAGAGAAAAGTAGAATATACATATACATGAAGTGCACTTAAAAAATAAAACACCACAGAACAATACTTTGTTGTCTTCTGAATTTCTGGATCGCACAAAGGCATTTGGAGTTCAGTGTCTTGAGACATTTGTTTGTTGTTCAGTATTTTTTCTCTTTATCTCTATGGTGGCTATCCAAAGCAGGGAACAGGCTAATACTCGAAGACACATGGTCAGCCCCTGAAAGAGGAACCTTATGGGGGTCAAAAATAGTTCAGTTTGAATTAGAGCTTTGGTACATTCAAATTATTTCGAACAGAATAGGGTAAATATAATAGTTCAGCTCACCTGAACGTCTCGATGTCATAGATTCTGCAGGCACCTCTTCCACACGATTTATTCTGGCCCCATTTCAGACAGGTCGAGTCAATAAGAGCACCAAAGTAAATGGGAGCAGGAATACCACCTTTAAAAAAAGGTCAATTGCATTGTAAACAATGCTGTAAGGCCAAGAAAATAAAAACATAAATATTACACCTTACAAACTCACCCAAAACTCTTACAGCTAACAGTAACATTCCCACAGAGAGAGACTTCAGCTCAGGATCCACAATCCTGCAAGAACATGTTCTCAGTACGCATTTTGATGTAAACTTTTGGCAACAAATCGATATGTAGCTTTATGTTAGATTGCTCTTTTTTTGGCCTTTGCATTGTGGGTAGGGTTTAATTTTATTTATTAAAGAGCATCAGCTCATAACAGAAATCATTTAAGGTTCTCTTCCGACAGAACAGGTCTATCCTTTGTTATTTAAACTAACAACATGTCCATGTCAGAGTTCTAGGTTGTGCATCAGAATTTGGCCAGCTGCACATCTCCGTTCTCTATTCAGGGAACATGGGTTACGTTTGTAGCCAGGACGTTCCCCTTCATTGGAACTACACCGTCTCGTAGCAGACAAGCCATCTCCAGTCCTGCGGCTGAAGCAGCCCGGGATAACACGGCTACCATGTCCTAACAGAGTCATTACCATATTTAATATGGGGAGGAGGCAGGAAGGAGTTTTGCCCTTGTGCACGTGCGCTCAGTTTTACAACAATTCGGATGTACAAAGAGAAGATGCGTGGGATTCTGCGTACGCAGTGTTTCATACATCTGAATTTTTTACTGCGTACGCACATTTACCGCTTTGTCTGTACGCAATGTTTTAGTCTTCGTACATGAGGCCCCTGGTCCCCGGTGTCATCTAACGAGAGTGCAGCCATCCTGGAGAATGAACCGGTGCCCTCACTCGAATGTGACGGATGAGCACCCGCTGTAATCTTCAGGCCGTGCTCGAACCAACTTCTGGAGAGCAACAGTGGGGGGCACACCCACATCGTCTGCGGCGACCTCAGCTACGCATCACTCAAGCCCTCGCAATGACGCCCTATTCACACGGGGCTTCAGCGTCAACGCTTGACAGAGGGCGTGTCTGAAGTTGGAGCTGAAACGATCGTCATAGAAGCGTCAGCCAATGAAATTCAGTCAGTAATAGGCCACTGTCTGAGCTGGTGTATTTGCATACAGCGATCTGATTGGCTGACGCTTCCGTCGGCGCTTGAAAAGTTGAGCTAGTCCCAACTTCTGCAGCGAGGAACGCTTCTGAAGCGGCGCCGACGGATCCACAATGCAGTTCGGCAACACCTGACGTCACCCATTCAAAGTGAATGGGAAGCGTTGACGCTGAAGCCCCGTGTGAATAGGGCGTAAGGGCACAAACTGTCCGCAAGCATTGCCTCAACATGCTGAACCCCCTGACATGTGATCCAATACTCGTGCCTGTCATCAGGGCCTAGGAAACCACCACATCCAGAAACACACGGCAATTACAATATATTACAATATATATTATACCTCAGAGACATGGTGAAAAAGGGAATAATGCCAAGACCGCACAAAAAGAAGGCCAAAGACTGCAATCCCAGATAAATGTAGATCATTCTGTTGCATTTGGGATCTCTTGAACACTGGCCAAGAACTGCAGAGGAGTTGCCAACGCTCAGTCCCCAGCTCTGAATACACCTGCAGTCATGGAATGTCTGGCAAAAAAACAAGACAAGAAAGAGTAAAATACACTTACAAGCACTGGAGAACTGGAGAGTGAAAGATTGGTATTTACCATATTCCGTCCTGCACCCTGGGTGGAATTGCAGCCTGCATGGCAAGGGGAGATGTAGGTCACTCCATTCTCTCCACACACTGGATCCCATTGGAGGTCAGGACACCCACAGTCAGCATTGCAAGAAGGGAGTACATCACTGGTTACACCTTGAACTTCAGTAGACCTGCCACATGAACAATTCATTGCTATGTCATTCTACAGCGTACAAGTGACTTGAAAGTTATTAGATTGAAGAGATGGAGATAATAGTACCCTTGATAGGGCACTGTAACCCCAGCGATATCTAGATTTTCACAGCTGAGAGCGAAGAAAGGTACGGCCAAAAACACTGTGGCGACTATGGTCAACAAATTCACTCTTGCGGATGCCAGCAGACCCCATTTAAACCTCTTCATCATCAACCCACTGAGGAAAACACCCAGCGCTACTGCCGGAATAGATGTCACTCCTATGTACAGTGTACAAATATGCAACCAGTTAAAACAGACTGGAAATACAGGAAAATTCTAGCAACATCACAGTTGTCACCTATCAGAAAGTTGGCTTTGGATGCACTTTGCCCAAACTGCTGTTCCAGATACTTTGGCGTGTATGTTGCAACTATGGCGAAGTCGTTGAATGCCACTATACTGTACGCCAGGTACAGAATGTAGATCTTATTGGTGAGCAGACGCTTAAAAGTTGGTGCAAAATCTAGAAAACAAGAATATAGCACACTTTTTAAACAATCAGATTTTTTTTAATGTCTTTTCAATGTTGCCATTCCTTACCTTTGACTATCTCTGTAAGGCTGGGGGTGGTTTTGTGCTGTTGTGGGGTGTTGTCTAGCAGTGAGATTTGGGAGTTTTCAGGTAGAACTTTCGGCAAGAACCAGAAAGGAAAAGCAGCGAGGAGAGTCAACAAGCCAGACACCACATAACCCAACCACCAAGCCCCAACCCAGCGAGAGTCCTGCGGTGTGATGGTCACGCTTTCTGAGAAGAGAATATGCAAATAAATTGATCAGTTAGCTCAGTGGTTCTCAACCACAGTTCTAAAGAACCAGCAGCACTGCACATTTTCCATGTCTCCTTAACAAAACACACCTTATTTAGATCATCAGCACATTAGCAGACCTGAAACCCATCCTGCAAGACAGACAAATGATACATGCTGGTGGCCCTCCGGGAATGTGGTTGTGTTAGATTGAGACAACTGTGTAAGATGAATACAGTAGCAATTGAAAGTTTGTGAACCCTTTGCAGAATTGGTGAACCACTCACTAAAGCTTCAGAAAGTATTGTTAAACAAGAGGAAAGTCTCCAATTTTGATGAAATCTCTTGTCTTTCATTGCGTTGATCTTCACATTTGAATAGATCCTACAGCATCATATTTCCTTCAGGACCATCAGTGAGTGTTTGGACCTTTTCAATAGTTGTGTTTGATTCCCTCACTTGTTTCCATTGGGAAAAGTTGTATCTCACAATCGTACATTCACTGCCTCATAAGTTGGCATCTTCACAACTCCTTGGGTCTGCCATGGATTCCTGCTTAGCTGGCATTCCCAAGGTTTTTCCTATCCTAGGTTAATTGCCCCCTTAGGCAGTTGGTGTCAGGGTTCTGCCACTCTGGTCATGTAAATTCTTGTGTTGGTGGCAGAATCCGGACACTAGTCATGTCTAATCCTGTCCTGTTGTGCTCAGCTCAAGTTTTCTTGGGTCGAGCACTTGTTTCTGTCCTTGTGTGTCTCCGTGTGTGCGCGCGCCTTCGTGGGTGTGCGCAGAGCTTGATGCGGCCGCGCGGGCTCTGCGTCCCTCCGCTCTTGTACTCGTGTTTGTGTTTTCGTCTGTCAGCAGCGTGGTGTTTCATTCCCAGCGTCTCCGTCTTGTAGGTTGCGGTTTTGGTCGGCGCTGGGATGAAGCATGCACGCTGCGTGTGTGAGCGCACGGTGAGTGTTTTCATTCATCGTGTGCTCGTGTCTTGCGTCTGTTGTCAAAGCACGTGGCTCGGTGTTTACATTGCGGTCACGTGCTTTTGTCGTGTGCTTCAGTGTTGTGGTTGTGTTGTCATGAACATGCGGTTAATGAGTTCTCTCATTGGCTGCGTGTTCTTGTCCTGTTTTATGTGAGCGCATGGCTCGTCTCGTCTCTGTCATGCGCTTTCCCTTCTATTGTCTTGTCCCACCCACCTTGTTTGTAATTATTATTTTCACCTGTCCGCCTGTCTGTTTATTGGTTTGTCTTTCCTTTTTATTCTCCTAGTGTGCTCTGTTCTGGGCTGGTCCGTTGTTAAATGTTTCCTTACTCTGTTGTATGAGGTGTTTGATATCTGTTCTACAACAGTGCTTTAAAGTAGTGTCATGCCAAGATCAAGTCTAGTTGAGTGTGTAGTATAATGTTGGGTTTTTCCCCACATGGGGAGATTTAAGTTTTGGTTTTTGTTTTATTTCGTAATAAATCCTTCATTTCCTGCATTTGGGCCCTCGCCTCCTCTCCATCCACCCCCATACCGTGACAGTTGGCTTCTGTTTGTTTTATTGGTCACGGTAACCCTCAGCCCCTGATGCAAGCGTTTCCTCTAGCCCAGTTTTTGTGTGTGATACTTTAGAACGATTTGTTTTATTCAGAACTGTTTTTTGGGGGGTGTTGAAAGAACCAATTCGGAACTAGGCTCAGATTCGGAGCGAGCCCTTGAACAGATTTGGTTAAAAAGAGAGATTTATCTGAAACCAAGTCTGTTGCAATGTTTGCTATTCAACTTATTCTCAGCTGTCGAGTGGGCGCTGCAATTTGAATCTTTTTGTCTCGCGACTTCCGGTCACATTCACTTCCATTCATTTTTTGACGTTAACAACTGCTCGTTACGCTGCTTGATGTTGAAATTTAATATTTTCTTATTATAATATGCTACTTGGTCTGTGTAGTCATGCAAACATTTGTTTGTTGAGCAAGTAGTTTGACCGTTTTCTGCCGTTTATTATTCCTAGTCATTTCTTCCATAGGCGACTGAATCGGAAGTTCTAAGACAATCGTGAAAACAGGCGCACTTCCGCATTTTAGAATAAGGTCAATACCCTGGTAGATTTCCAACCAATATTGACCTTTTTTATTATTTTTTGTTATTAAGATCTAAGGTAAATATATATAAGTATTTATCTAACCTTGATCCACTAAGCCAAAATCCACATAAAGATTAGCACATAGAGATCCAAGCATGTAACCAAAAATCGGCCCAATCCCTTTGAGTGTGTTCAGACAACCTACAGAAAAGGAAGAAAATGAATCAAATCACAATGAAAGTACTAATATTATTAATAACAATAACAATCCTCTCACCAATGTAAAAAGCAGAGTTTTCTGGCCGTGCATAATCATCTATGAATGACATTCCCAGAGGGACAATGCTGGCTTCCCCAATCCCACGCATAGTGTTTCCCAAAACCACTATCACCCAGAAGGGTGAGCTTTCAGCTTCCTCTTTTTGGCATCCTAGACAACCCAATACAGCATGTATTGCATTTTACAATTAAAATATCCCATATGCTTCTCTACACATAACGCATTACCAGAGAAAGGCTGTTGAAGAGTTTCCTGAGAGTCGGATGAGCATGTAGAGATCACAGTAAAATTACCAGCATCATTAGTGTGGGTGGCAGCTGTACCATACTTGTACCTGTTAGAAAATAAGTAGACACATAAATAGAACATACTGTATTTTTAAATATAGAACCTTAAGAAAGCACACTTTTAAAGAGTGGAACTTCGTTAACTCCTTAATGTGAATACACCAAGCATGAGTATGCCTTACTTTATTCAAAACTCACCGGCCCATAAGGAAATGAGGTGAAGCCATTAGCAGTGTTCCTATACCCATCAGCAGAACCCCTGCTCCAATGATTTTAGGTCTGTGAAACTTAGCACCAATGTAACTCACGAGGGTAATGACCAGCATATTACCTGGAAACAAATTGTTCATTATTTCACACCATCCATCATTGTCCTATTTGTGTGAAGAGTAATTCAGTCCCATCACAGCATCAATGGGGGACTCACTGGAATAAACGCTCATCTACTGCCTGAACCTCTGCCCTCATTTCTCAACTCACCCATTTCGAAGCTGCCATCAATGAAACCAACGGTGGAGCTCGGGATCTCAAACCGCTTCTCAATCTGAGTGATGGTGCTTTTGGTGTAAGACCCCGTCATGGATTTAGAGAAGTAACTGAAGGCGAGTGCGCAGATGAAGATCTTTACAGGTACAAGGATAGAGAAAAAATTATCTTTATGTATACATTACGTTACATCTATTATTATTAAATCAAATGATCAGCTGATAGTAGTTTCGGACTTCAGGCAAATGGTCTTACCTTCAGACTTGAGCAGCATTTGGTTTGAGAGGTTTTCTGATTTCCGCCTGAATATTCCATCCTATTTGCGCTGCCTTCCATGATGAACTATTGGCCAAGAAGGAGGAGAAATCCCAGTGGAAAAAGACAGGTCTGAAAATCATAAACCACAAATGCAAGACTTTGGAAAGCACGTACAAGTTCTTGTTTAATTCTTATTAATTATAATTAATATTATAATTAATTATCACAAACTCTGGCAGTTTTTATAACTTTATGGACATTCTTACCATATTATTCCAGTAGTAGTCTACTGTGTGTCTAATAATAGATCCCCTTCTCTGACATTGGCTGCGTCCGAAACCGCATACTTCCATACTATGCAGTACGCTAAAATCAGTATGCGAGCTGAGTAGTATGTCCGAATTTATATAATTGGAAAATCAGTATTCGAGAAGTACCCGGATGACTTACTACTTCCGGCGAGATTCTGAAGTGCGCATCCCATGCACGCTGCGCTATCCCATATTGCCCTGTGAGAGAATTCATGAATGGAAGTGAAGCGACGCAACTGACGCAGGTAAGTCACGTGACCATGACAAAATGGCGGATGTAGTACGTCCGAATTTCATTCATACTGTATAGAACGCACTTTTCTAACGGCCGAGTAGTATGTTTACATTCAAATGCAGTACCTACTGAGTAGTCGGCAGTTTCGAACGCAGCCATTATGTTGAAATAACATTATGGGTAATCGCCAGATGACCAATCACCCTGAAAGGTTAGAAAATGGGCCAATGAATTGGCAGAGAAGCTCCTTCACAGGTGGAACCGCTTATTAATTAGGGATGTATATATTCAGCACTGAAGCCTGAAGAGAGACAGACACTGCTAAGTGAGATCTCCTAGAGCAGGGGTGGCCAACCCTGTTCCTGGGGAGCCACCTTCCTGCAGATTTTAGTGGCTACTCATATCAAACACACCTGAACCAATTAAACAGGACCTGAACACCACGTGATAATTACAGGCAAGTGTGTTTGATATGGGTAGCAAGGTGAAAGGTGGCTCTCAATGAACAGGGTTGGCCACTAGAGCAGGGGTGTTAAAACTCGGAGGGCTGGTGTCCTGCATATTTTAGTTCTAAACACACCTGAACCAGCTAATCAAGCTCTTTCTAGGTATACTAGAGACCTCCAGACAAGTGTGTTGAAGGAAGTTTGAGCTAAACTATGCAGGACACCTGCCCTCTTGGACCGAGTTTGGACACCCTTGCTCTAAAGTTTCAGTTGCTGCATTCAGTGGGGTGACAAGGCATTCAGGGGTGGTCAAACACAACTAACCCTATTAATTAGGACCTCAACACCACGTGATAATTACAGGCAGGTGTGTTTGATATGGGTTGCAACTGAAATCTGCAGGAAGGTCGATCTCCAGGAACAGGGTTGGCCACCCCTGAACTAGTCCATAATTTGCTATGATTAATAAGCAGTTCCACCTGTGAAGGAGTTTCTTTGGGAATTCATAGGCATTCATTGGCCTGCTGTCTTATGCTAGAGCAGGAATGTCCAAACTCTGTCCTGGAGGGCTGGTGTCATGCTGAGTTTAGCTCCAACTTGTTTCAACACACCTGCCAGGAAGTTTCTATTATATGTAGTTATAGCTTGATTAGCTAGTTCAGGTCTGTTTGATTAGGGTTGGAGCTAAACTTTCCAGGACACCGGCCCTCCAGGACCCCCCTGCACTAGAGTTTGTGCGTGTGAAATTCTGTAAAATGGCGCTGCAAAAAGGGGAGTGGATAAACAAGATGATTAGACATTTTAAAAAGCGAGTGATTGGTCCATATTTTGGCGAAGCAGTGGCGCAGTAGGGAGTGCTGTTGCCTCACAGCTAGGTTGCTGGTTCAAACCTCGGCTCAGTTGGCGTTTCTGTGTCGAGTTTGCATGTTCTTCCTGCGTTCGCGTGGTGTTCCTCCGGGTGCTCCGGTTTCCCCCACAGTCCAAAGACATGTGGTACAGGTGAATTGGGTAGGCTAAATTGTCCGTAGTGTGTGAATGTGTGTGTGGATGTTTCCCAGAGATGGGTTGCGGCTGAAAAGGGCATCCGCTGTGTAAAAACTTGCTGGTGGTCCATTCCGTTGTGGCGACCCCAGATTAATAAAGGGACTAAGCCGACAAGAAAATGAATGAATGGTCCATATTTTAAATTTCTGTTCTAGAGATGTCATGTTTTGACCCTCGATTGGTCAATGATGCAATTTCACAGGTCAGAGTTCACCAAGCTTGAACTTTGCAATGCAGCGACCTGCGACACTTGTCGCATGAGCTTGCGTTTCCGCTCTGGAAGTCTAAGGGGCGAAAAGTGTAGTGTGACTGCAGCTTTACTCTTCAGAGTGATTGGTTATCTGGTGATAAACGATAATGTTGTTTCAACATAATGTCTCCATTTCCTCCTATAGGGAACAAGGGTTACTTTTGTGTTGGCTGCACCCCCACTGCCCTGACCTTTTATTTTCTTCCTATAAGACAATGTCAAACTACATTCACTACAGCGAGGCCAGCAGGGGGCGCCCAACCTGCGGTCTGTGTGGGTCCTAATGCCCCAGTGTAGTGACGGGGACTCTATACTGCTCAGTGAGCACAGTCTTTTAGATGAGACGTTAAACCGAGGTCCCGACTCTCTGTGGTCGTTAAAAATCCCAGGATGTCCTTCGAAAAGAGTAGGGGTTTAACCTCGGCATCCTGGCCAAATCTGCCCACTGGCCTCTGTCCATCATGGCCTCCTAACCATCCCCATGTTCCAACTGGCTTCATCACTGTCTCCTCTCCACCAATCAGCTAGTGTGTGGTCTGGCGCAAAATGGCTGCTGTCACGTCATCCAGGGGGATGCTGCACACTGGACAGGTCCCCCCCCCCC